CTTCTATCTTCTGCTTATTAGTGACTTAACATACCAGGCAACTAATAAAGCAGACTCTTTCCTTATCTAGCCATGGGCTGTGTGAGTTTGGCAAGTCTCAAGTGTTCTAAGATGCTGAGTCTGCAAGAGATCAAAGGATCAGAACAGCAACTCCTTCTTCTGAATCTTAACTGTGGAATGACAGAAGAATAGCTGGATCTGCTGCAGACAGGGTGGGAAGGAAAGGGACACAGCACAAGTGAAGATTTAAGCAAACTGGAACCAATGTTTGTGTAATCTCTACTGAGGTGTGTGAGTGCTGTCAGGAGCGCAGAGTACATTTGGGTTCACTGGCATGCTGAGTATGGTTCTCACTGTTCTTTGCCTACTCATCCTGCATAAGCAGTATTGAAGTAATTGTTGCCTTGGTGTGAGTTACAGGCCCCTGCTTTACTGATGACAGATTTCTTCACAAATTCCTGTTTCAGGTCTATAGCTACTACTTGTGTGAATAACAAATAAGGAAAAGGTTTTAACACCTTTGCTTAGACTGTTCTTTTTTATAGGATAGGTAAGCTGGGTTTTCTGGTGTTGTGCTTGGTTTGGGTTTTTATTTTCTCCTTTAAAGCAGAAGGACACCTACTTGAAGAAATCGATGAGGTTTAAGTATGAACTTCATCCATCCAGAGATCTGTATTGCCTGTGGGCAGACTGTCAGGTCAGAGTGACACAGCTGCTCACAGATGGTGCCTCTAACTTGTACTTACTAGGTAGTGAGATCTTAGGGTTTGTCTTTCCAGACCTTAAGCTAACTGTTAGGTAGTGATCTTTTATATGGATTGCTTGTGGGGATTCATGAGAGAAATGTTCTCTAAGGTTGGTAAAAATACAGATTTAGACTTATTTTTTCCTACTGAAAAATGAGGTAGAGATAAACTTTAAAGACCTAACCTTGCAGCATGTATTATCAGATACCAACCTGAACAGTTAGTGTTTAGGACTAGATTCTCTTAATTTTGAAGAAGCTATGTGGAAAAATAACCATGTATGCTGTAATTGCCTGTTGCATGTGGATGACCGTTTTTAATCTTCAGTGCATTGCTTCTTATCTGACTTAAGACTTCTAGGCAAAGGTTGCCTGAAAAGTCCTGGAAACTGTTGTTTCAGTGGTGTAAATATGTCAAGATGTAATTGTTATATCAAAATTCATGTCTATAAATTAACTATTTTAAAGGTTGTTCTGATCTGGTTTTACTCAGATTCCAAACCTCCAACTGACAACTTGTTTTAGGACTAAGGCCTCTTGTGGCTTTAGTGTACAGCTTTGGTTTTCTTGTGCATCTTTGATATTTGAGTACTTGTTCAGTTGCAGATGCCCAAAATAATAGCCCATGAATAATTTAACACTTGAGCTAACCCATGGGATTAAAACTTTATTCAGGACAGCCCTGGAACTGAGCTAATACAGCTTCTGCTCAGACCTATGACACATCGCATGAGATGACTCATCTTTCTATCCTTCGTTCTATATCTTGATGTCTTGAAGGACTAATGTGGCTTTTTCTCCACTGATGGGCAGCTCACTTGCATAATCATCTCACTGTTAGCATGATTTGTATTCAGGGAAGTAACTTGGACTGCCTTTATCACCAGAGCAAGCTTGATGTTCCAGTATGTAATTCACATCTACAAAGCCAGCAAAACAATGCACCACTTTCTACAAAGCAAACTGCAATTGTTAAACTTTGATTTAGAAGCCTCAGAACTCTGAATTTTATTTGTTAACTATTTCTGAGGAAATACTTGTTACCTGTTGATACTTGTTACCTATTTGAAGGTAACAAGTTTGAAACAAGTTTCAAATAGGTAACAAGTTTGAAATACTTGTTACCTGTTTGAACAACAGGTGGAAACCTCTGCTTAACTGAGAAATCTAATTGCTTCTAAACTTAGGCTTGTAAAATTGTGTAGGCCTATTGTCATAGCAATCTCATTATGTGTTTCTACATCCTGAGTGTCTGATTGTAAAACTCAAAACACTTCCAGCCACAGAGGGACCTTGGTTAGATTGCAGCCTGCATTCTAATTATGAAATTGGATGGTGTTTATATACTTTCTCCTAAATTCTGGGCTTGTGCTACTAGCAGTCAGACCTGAGCAAGCTCCTCAGGATCAATATGGGCCCAGTACTATTCAGTCTTAATAAATTATCTGGATGATGGGATTAAGTATATAATCAAGTTTGACAGTGATATCAAACCAGGAGAAGTAGATTCAACAGAATGAAGATCCACCATAGAGACATTGACAGGTGGGAAGATTGGGCCATTAAAAATGGTATCAGGTTTAGTAGGTGTTAAGGTCTTCTCTTGGGTTAATTCCAAGCAACAGTTCATACTGTGGTCTGACAGGCTGGGGGATGTCTTTGTTGAAAAGGTCCTGGAAGTCCTAGTGGACAGCAAGCTGAGCATGCGCCTGCAGTGTGCCCTGCAGCAGAAAGGCAAATGGTGTCCTGGGCTTGTATCAGCAAGAGGATAGCCAGTAGGTATGGGGACATGATTATTCCACTGTACTTGGCTCATCCACAGCCAATACTGTCTGGTTTTTTTTCCCCTGATTTAAGAAGCTCACACTGTAGAGGCTCCAGTGAAGGCTTGTAAAAGTGGTTAGTGTTGGCAAACACAACCTATGAAGAAAGAATTCCTTCAACCTTTCTTTAGCCTAGAGCAGAGGAGGGTTGGGGGAGACTGCTTCTTAGCTCCCATAGGTAGCAAAGTAGATTAAGGCTGTTAAAGGAGATACTCTAAAGGGAGAACTGAGTCATACTTAGGGACAGAGTTGTAAAGTCCAGTCTAAGTTGAATTATTTTCCTTACCTAAAATATTTAATCTTGTAGGTAGGCCTTTCTGTGGTTGTAAATCTGTGTTCAAACCAGAACTTCTAGAATTCCTTGGACACCATGAAACTTTGTTGTCATCACTAGCTTGTGCTAAGAGAGGTCTTCCCCCATGTATAGCTCTTACAGCAAAAAGCTCTGACATAAGGACTGAAATTGCCAGTTACCTTTTGTAGCAAAAGAAAAGGAGTTGAACTTCATTTGGACCAGTCTCCAAACAGTGCTGCATGTACTTTTGAGCTGTATTTTTGGGTGATAAATGAGGCGATGTCAGTTGTGAAGTCCTGAAATGCTGTGCAGATAGTTAACGGCCTACCTTATTTTCTAGGAGTCTCTGGTAAAACCAGTTCTAATACTTTATAGCTACACAAAAATAGTCATGTAGTGCAAGTTGTCAAAGATCCAGCTGAGTGTGTTCTTTGCGAGTATATACTTCAAGGAATATTTGAAGGGAAATACTTTACCCTTACTTAAATGCTTTAAAGTGATTTAACAGGTACTACTGTTTCCTTGGGTTTGAAGCCTGTTGAGACACATATGCTCTCTGCTTGTTGAACTTAACTGACGCTGTTCCAACAATTTACTGGTAATTGTCATTCTAAACATAAGAAGCCTAATCCCACAGCAAGTGAACAAAGCTGTCAAGACTGCTAAGCTCCTGTTTCGTGCTTTCCTAGCCTGATACTTGGAGGAGTATTTGTTGAAATCATGGAACACTGTTGCTTTTGGAGTGAAACTGAAGTTTGTGGGCTTAGTGTCAGATAATTACATTGAAACGATTACTAATTTAAATATTAATGTGACTTTGAGCTACCAAGAATAATAAATAAGACCTTTTTGTTAAAGGGGCTTAGAAATGGGTGTTGGTGGCAGGGTATATGGCATGTTGAAAAATACACCAGGAAAAATGGACACTGTTGTGCTTAGAGTACAGTGTGTGAGACAGTAGTATGTCTAAGCAGGTTCTTAAGATGTCAGATCAAGTCTTGTGTACAGAAAGCTCATGTGCTCTGACAGTATGTATGATGACTTTGTAACGCATTAGCATTTGTGTTAAATCCATTCTCAGTATGAAATGTAAATCTGTGCTCAAAGGAGGGAGTGATATTCCTATGAAAATCTAGAAAACTGCTAATTTCTGAAGTTAGTGAATGCTCAGATATTAAGCATTCTAGCAAAACTGAGTATGTTAATTGTGATTAAGAGTTGAAAAGAAAAGCCTTCATGCTGAGCTCTTCACCAAGAACAACCTATCACCAGCAGCCTCCTACCCACAGTAACGCAAAAGATAAAGCCTGAGGCTAATGTCTGTAACCGGGCTGGAGAAACTTCTGACCTTGGTCTAGATCTGTAAGACTCGTAGGGTAGCAGGGAGGAAGTAGTGGCATTTTCTTGTTTACCTCATCTCAAATATCTGTTCCCTTTTTAGTTAGGGGGAAGACTATAGACTTCTGCATTGGAAAAATTGGGGCATAGAATTGATGTAGAAGCTGGCAAACAGTTGGAATAGTATACCATTTATAACTAGGAGTAAATGCTGACAGAACATATGAATTCGAATGGGTATCTAAGCAGTCTTGGAATGTAACTGAGTTTGTGTTGACCAAGCTTCTACTGTCTTTTTACTTAAGGTTTTTTTAGTAAATCAGGTACTTCCTACATAATTTCATTTTCAAAGTTCAAGACTACTGGCTACTAAGAAATTGTGTGTAGTTTGCTGCTAAAGCTATTTTAAGTATGTAGAAATTCTTGTATTGCACAATATTTTGATTATGATCCAAAGTGGGAAACTTAAGGTTTTGGGAAGCTAAGTGACTTGACAAAAAAACCCAAGGGTTAGCTGGATAAATCTTTAGTGTGCAATGGCTATGAAGGCTTAACACATGCTGTTGTCTCTGTGTTTGTGACATGCTTAAGTACCATTGGAGTAATGCAGGATGCTGGAATCTGCAGAGCATGTTTGTTATGTTTTGCTCAATAAAGGAAAAAAATTGCTTTAGAGTCTGTAGGAGGGTGGGAGGAAAAAAAACCCCATCAGTGATACCTAATAGCTACAACATACAGCAGCCTTATCAGATAATCTATGGCAGAAAACTTGAGTATGTATGTTTCCTTTTTATTTTAGGCTTATGGTATGTCAGCATTGCCTCTAAACTTGATTAAGGGAACTACCAGTGCAGCTTATGAACGTTTAGAGAACACTGAAGACATTGAAGAAGTGGAGCAACATTTATTAAGGATTAAATCAAAGGTATAGTCTTCCCTGTTCTCACTTTCTTAATGATTTTTTTTTTGCTTGCTTACTAGTTTGCAGTAATGCTGTAGAGTTTTTGCTCCAGGAAGAATAACAAGTTAGAAGTCACTAGCTTGCAGTTATTGGAGTTACTTGGAAACAATGTGGTCACTTGTGTAGTAGCAATCGGGTTTTCTTTTAGTCCTGAGCAGTAGTTACTTCTGTCTAGCCAGTAATGCTGCTGAGAAGCTAAACTCAAACTTCTTGAATATGTGGAAGAGGTACTTTGCAGAAGTTAAGACTATTAACCTCACTTAGTGTGCTACCAGATAGGGCATCCAATTTGTTAAAACTTAGCGAGTGTGGTTGTCAACACTGGATGCTTGCCACATGAAGGTGTCATGAGCTAGATTATCAAATGATTAATCATCTTTATGAATAAATAACAGCCCCAGATATTCTTGCAGCTTCCCCCAGTTTAAACTGTAAAGTTTTGGCTTTCTACAGAGTAATACTACAACAAAGGCAACTGTATTACTGAAATCAATAAGGAAAACAAGAGAACCTCGAAAAATGGAGTTATTACAGAAGACTATATTGGAATATGAGATTTTGCGAGAAACAGGTTTTGTTTGATCTAGCTAACAAATAGGATCAAAAAGTAGAAAGTCTGTTATGTCTATATTTGAATGTGACCATTAGCACACAAATATTCTATAGTTGAATGTGACCTTTGAGAAACTTATCTAAAATAGATTCATTTTAACTTGACTGGATGTGAAGTGTTTTACTATTTGTAGGAAGACTCTTATTTTAAGAGGAAAAAAAATGAGGAATTGCAAAATTTAAAAATATGTAGTACCTGTACTAAAACTATTAGAATCTTTTTAATCTAAGCATCAGCTTGTTGTAGAGTAGCATCAATGTTAAACAATTTTGGTTCAGCTACCTAATGCCTATTTTGTTGCTTTTGCTTATTAGCATATAACAGACATTTAAGTATGTGCTACTCAATTTACAACTGATGCAATGGTGTCTGCTCAGTATATACAGTTTTTACAGTATTTAGAGGCTCAGACTTAAAGTATGCTCTTAAACATACTCATCAAACAAACGATCTGGTACACTCAAGTAATTCTTGGGGTAATGGTGCTTCTTACTTGGATTTCTGTAAGGTTAATTTTTGGAACAGCAAGTCATCTCACTCTTGCAAGTACAAGAAACATCTGAGTATCTGTAGTGGAATGCTGGAAAGAAAATAATGATGCCAAGCCGAATATATTGGCTTAGTCATAGCATTTGATTGGAGGAGACCTCAAAGTCATCAGATTCAACCCTCTACACAAACCAAGGACCTGTTTCAGGTTAGATCAGGTTATTCAGATCACATCTAGGTTCTTTAAGTTATGAGGAATGCCTATCCTGTTAAAATTTCTCAACATCCTCATTGTGAAGTGTTTTCTACAACTTGATAGGAATACCCTTGTTTCAGCTTCTGATCTTGCACTTCATCCTCTTGCTCTGCATAGGAACAGTGTGAATTATCTACTACAAAATATTTAGAGTTGTAACTCATTAAGCTAAATACTGTCTGTTTTCTTGCTTCAATGTCCCTTGGTCTCTTGCACTGTGTTTTGGTAAACAGTGCAGAGATGGTCGGCCTCTGTCATCAAGGGATAGACGGACTGTACAACAACTAGAAGAGAGACTAAGGACACTTCGGAGGAGAGAGAGGCATCTGGAGTCTATTGAGAAAAGCTGGTGGACAAAGTTCTGTGAAGCTATCCGACCTCTAAAGGTAAAACTTTCTCACTTTTTGAGGCTTAAATGGGAATGACTTCCAGCTTTCTTCTTCCCATATAAATCATAGGTCAGGTTTATCAATTATACCGAATAACAACTGCATACTTTCTTTATTACTATTATACTACAAAATGACAGCCTTAGAGCAAGCTCTGTTTGAGCTTTTGGAAGACCTTTTATATTGCCTAAAAAATGATTAAGGTTGAAAAAGGAAGTTGTAAGTGATGTGCTATAGTGGCACTCCCATAGAAAATTTAAGTATCTTTTCTCAGGCATGTGAAAATTGGAAGAAGCTGTCAGGTAGCTGAGGTTAATCTAAATTACATGTACCCAGCAGAAATGAGACATACTTTGAGAAAATGTTTGGAATGAGCATCTTGCCAAGTAATTACTTGATCGATAGTAAGCTAGCTGCATGTCACTTAACGTTTCAGTACTTAACCAGTGCAATGGAGACTGTGACTGGGGCAAAGCTTTGATCTCTGTCTCTTTTTGATCTGAGGACTTTGGTTTTTAGTAGATACCTGGTTATAAAAGGCCATACTCTTATGGACCAGTATTGCCATATAAAGTATTTTTTGCTAACTAGATGTAGGAAAAATTTTAGCATTACTTCAGACTCTAGGCTTTACTTTGAAAAGCTGGGGTGGGGGCTATAAGATATTTCCTCTAACATCACTGCTACGTTTAATGCTGAAGACCCATGGAAATAACTGAAGTTGCAGTGGAAGAAAAGCTTTCACTGAAGTTCTTAGTGGGAAATCTAGACTTGCCCCTTTTATTTAAAGGACAGATATCCCTGACTGTTCACTAACAGTTTGGATGCTTCCTTTGATTCCAAATAGCTTGTGTAATTTAACTTGTTTCATTAAGGTTAACTTTGAGAAGTGCATTGGCCATATGTATTGTTTGTAGGGTTTTAACTGTTTATTGATAAAGAACTGGCTGG